GACAACCCCGTTACAATATGCGTTTTGTACTGCTATTACACAGCAGAAAACGCGTAATAACAGTAATATAATCAAACAGCATGATGATGTGACTGGGTGCAACATTGAATTTATCAAAGCTGGACACATGAAATAAAGAAAAATTTGATTTAATCATAAAAATGAAGATAACTGTGGTAAAATAATAATTACTGGCCGACGAATCACTTAGAGAGATATGCAGATTTTTTTTTACATTTTCGTTTTTATGCTGTATTTGCAAGTTTAGGGCTCTGAAAGCTCCAGGATGGATGAAGCACTGGCATTGTGGTGTTCGAGCTAAAACGAGTGGTAAATTGGTCGCATTTATCTCGGCAATTCCGTCAGTTATACGGGTTTATGACAAGGTTTTCTTTTTTGACTTTATTTCTCACTTTTTTTTTGCTGTTATTTGTTTTTCGCTGGGCCTGGCACCGTGCCAATCGGAGCCTCACATCCTCCCCAGATTAGATAAATGGCCAGCGCACCGGCGCACGTGCGAAGATGCGTTTTTACATAGCTCCCCGCAGATTTCTGTCGCTAACGACATTGGTTTTTCTAGCAGATGCTTCTAACTAAAAGAATTTCAGATTGGCCGCCAGAACTGTCAGGAAACATCTCTTCAAAATCCCAGTCTTCTAGCTTCACTTTCGCAAGTTTGCAACTTACCCGGAAGAAACTTTCAAGGCCCGTATGTAGGCACCACGCCTACCTGCGGGCAGGGTTTGAACTCGTTAATGTCTGCTTGGACGGGAAACATTGCCCTAAGATTTAAGCGTTCTAGCTGCTCAGGTCCCCGAGTTAGGAACTTACCCGAAAAAAATTTTGGCGGGCCCGTACGGCGGGACTACGTTTACCGGGAGGATGGGTTTCAGTGCATTAACACCTACTTAGACGGGGAACATCCCCCTAAGATTTCTGCATTCTAGCTTCTCAGATCCCGAGGTATGAACATGCTCCAAAAAAAAACTTTGACAGGCCCGTACGCGGGTACCACGCGGGTGTTGGCGCCCATTTTGGGAATTGGGGCCGGCACGTGCATGTAGATTAAGTTCCCGAAATTTCAGCCTCGCAGCTTTTATAGGTCTTGAGATGAAAGTGCGTGACAGTCGCACCCGCAGACACACGGACACACAGACAACCCCTTGCCAGTATACGTTTTTGCATTGCATAGCTGCAAAAAACGCATGATAACGAGGTAGCTGCAAGAGCTCAAGCAACAGCAGAGATAGCCAGTAGTAGTTGACAAGCAAGAAAGCGACCACGTCAACTGTTTGCGAAGAGTTGGCATTAAGTACCTTGTTTCATGCAATAGGAATGTAAAGGCTTAGCTTAGTTGCAGCCGCCGTTTTCTTGCATTTTTTTTAATTTCGGCAAAATTGATCGGTTATCTCAGTGAATTGATTATTTTATTGAATTTGGTTGGGTAATTTTCCCCCTTCTTTTCCAGGTAATCAAAATGGTGGAGATCAATTTTTTGTGCGTGCATAAGAAGCTTCGTTCAAAAAGGGTGGCACCAGTGCTGATCCGTGAGATCACACGTCGGGTAAATCGTCAGGGTATTTTTCAAGCCGCATTTACAGCTGGTGTCGTCTTACCCAAACCGATTGCCACTTGCAGGTATTCAACACTTTCTTTTCGAACTTTTTGCACAAATTAATGTGCTAGTTTTTTCGCCGTATAGCTTTGATGCCACTTTGCCAACAGTACATATCTCCTTTTGCCATTTTTCGCTGATTTTGGAATGGTTTTTGATTCAGTGGCACATAGTATTATTTTCTTAGTATTCGGAAATGTACTGGTACTGGATGAGTTTTGATGTATGTGCATGTATGTGTGATGTTTGTATTTGTGTGTTTGTATGTATGTATGTATGTATGTATGTATGTATGTATGTATGTATCTATGTATGTATGTATGTATGTATGTATGTATGTATGTATGTATGTATGTATGTATGTATGTATGTATATGTATGTATGTGTGTATGTATGTATGAGGTACTAATGTATGTGCACTGGGGTTTTGCAGCGGATTAATTTTGGTTTAAAGCGCCGATGAGCATTTATTTGAGGATTTCTGAAATCAAAGCACGACATCCTCAATGAAGTTAGCTGAAATAAGACTCACTCTGTTTGCTCTCTCTCTCTCCCTGATTCCTCTTTCTTTCGCATATCTTCCTTGCAAATTAGCCATACGATGGCGGGTAGGAGGCTGTACTGATGATTTCCGCTAGTACCCGCATGCATCGTTCGGTCTGTGTTTATAGCTAACGGATGAAACGCAGACTACATCGTAAAATGTCCTCCAGCACATGACACTTAAGACCAATCCTTCTATTCTACTATTTCAATTTTACAAAATTTCAGATATTGGCATCGATCGCTGAACCCGAAGAAGCTAATTGAAGTAAAATTTTCGCATCTTTCGCGGAAAATGACGTTGCAAAGGACGCTAAAGCTACACAAACTTCCCGAAGTAAGTGTTTCATTCTCATTTTCATTTGACAAATCTGAAATGATGAGCATTTGAGTAGTATAGTTTTATGGGTTTTTTCGCAGTCGCGCGTGTCCATAAAAGCCGGCTGGATGTTGCTGATATATCGTTTCAATATGTTTTTTGTTAGTGTCGCGTTTCATTGAATGAATTTACCCCCATATCCAGGAATTCCAGCCTTCTCCTTGCTTCTTGCCACCGTCAAAAAGTCAAAAATCGTTTCCGTATTTGGCAGAGCCACTCAGAAAGTAGCCTGACTTAGCAGTTGCCAGCAGCAGCCATCCGCTGCAGGACGATCGATGGCTGCTCTTTCGAGGGTTGCTTACAAGCAAGCGGATGACGAGTTTGACTCCCTGGCAAATGCCAGCACCAATTTGCCACTGAAACGAATGAACGAATCATAGAGGGATCGATTATTCCACCGGCGGAATCGAACTTTCGACTGTTACACAAGAGCAGTGCTTCTCCACCGCACTATGCCTGCCGGCTCTTGTCATAATACTAATTCGTTACTGAATTGTTTGCAGAAAACTTTTTTGTCTACGTTTTCCACTTTTAATTTCATCGCTTTGTTTTCGCAGTGGAGGAAGGGAAGGAGCAGGAGGAGGGGAGGGAAAGAGGGGGAGCAGTAGTGAAGGGGGGAGGGGTTTAAAAAAATGCATGAAGTGTATGCTGTAAGAGGACAAAATTATCTTAAACCCAGTTAAATTATTCCGCCAAAATCTGCTTTTTTGATATTTCTTCCATGTAATAGTACTGACACACTTGTCTGTACCCTAGTGCACACCACAAGTTCCCCTAGAGATGATTTATGGCGTGGTGACACATTTTGGATTTTTTAATGCGACAATTGTTATGTTTGGCGGAGGTAGAACAGGGGAGGGGGACGCTGACTCCTTATCAAGGGATGGCTTATTTTTTTTTTTCTATTTTTCAGCAACCGAAAACATCAAATCTGATGCCAATGGAGAAATGTCACATCGATAGCGCGTATAAATTGCTTCAAAATTATTTGAAAAAATTCGACCTGGCACCAGTTTTTTCACGTGCTGATTTCGAACATTTCTTTCTGCCTAGGTACAATGTCATCTACAGTTACGTTGCTCTGGTACGTTTGCCTTCCCAGCAGTTCCATTGATTTTAATTTATTGCTTCGTTTACAGTGGGGGAGAATATTTGTGTAGTTTCGCATAAGTGTTTTGCAAACTTTTGAAAAATTTTGAAAAATGTTAACTATGCATGTTTGTTTGGCGCTGTAGGCCAGCCGATGAAAGGAAGACAGTCGAATATTGTCAATTGTGGGAAAGCAGTGAGTGCTAATTCAGATATCCCGATAAGCGAGCCTGTATGTACATTAGCTGTTGTCCGGTCTTTGTTTCATCCCTAAACTGTAAACACAGACGGCAGAATCGGTGTGAAGTGAGGTGGGAATCATCAGTACAGTGCCCCACTCCGCCAAGTTTTGAACGAATATGTGACTTTCCGATGGAAGATGAAGGAAGAAAGAAAGGATGTGGGGGTGACTGTGCGTAAAATAACTGTTAAGAGATATAAATAAAAGTAAAACTAGCATGCAGCAGATGCATAAGCTTACTGGGGAGAAGTAGTGATCTGGATGAGGGAGAGGAGATGAGAGCGAAAACAATGTACAAGGATGCGAAGAGGGGGTTGCTGAATTTTGCTATCAGTTTAACATTAGCTGTTGGTGATTAAACGGCAATGAATGCATTTTAATGATAGTTTTAAATTATCATTTTTATGCGTTTTTGCTGTGCAGCGCTATAGCAGCGCTATAGCGCTGCTACAGCCA